GAGATTACAATAATTAATCGAAATAGATTTTGATATCTATTAAACCTGTTTGTAGCCAGATCGAATTCTCGATTTAAGATTACTTGAAGAAATGAACATAAGGAAAGCTCAATTTAAGTATCGAGGAGTACCTAGACTATGATATATACGATGTTATTTACTTATAAAGAATATGACATATGCCCTAAGAAAGAAAGAAAACATCGTAGCAGTGTTTCATACCGCGTATGCTTTTACGACCAATATTGGGTAAATGAATAAATATATGCTTCCTCGTTGTGTGAGATCCTGATGTTTATATAACCTCATACATACCCTCATAACTTTTAACTATTTCTTAAAATGTTATTCCTGTGTTGCTACTTTAATATATTGTCAATGAATATGATTGATTTGGTTTGATGGAACATATCTAGGAAATCAACTGATTTAAAGTTGAAGAATTCAAATAGAAAAGGAAACTATTTTGACCAACATTTATATTTGTATTCGCAATTGGACAATTGTGTATAACCATTTAAAGTACAAAACACAATTGTAAATATAACAATACGATGAAGGGTTCAAGTATATTCTATAAATACTCGAGAGATCGAATATACTTAAATTGATGTTGGAAATTGAGTTTGGGATATAACAAGATGTAATGTTCCTCTAGTAGAGATGCTATATATCCCTAACAGATTTATAGTACCGCAAGCTCTAATATTACTTGTTGGCCGCACGACCAATTTGTCATATGATTTTTTGTGAGATAGATCTTGAGAAGGATCTAACGTGTGATATTCGATGTTGCTTGTGGTTTGGTGAAGCCCATCAATTGAGAGTAAAAGATGTTGAAAAATACGGGTCGTGAATCGCCCATGTGGAGTAACCTAACCCATAAAATATTAAAAGGATTGAAGAGAGTGGTTAACTTCTACAATTCCCCATAACTCCCATTTTAACATCTAATTATTACTTATCATCTGGGAGAAGAAGAATGACAAAAAAAATGGCGAAATTCTTATGAAAAATATCACCAAAATTGAAAGGCACTTAGAACCACTATTTTGGCATGAAAACTCACAAAAATTAACACTTAGGTTGTGACTAATGATTCCCTTCTGTTGTGATTGGTCATCGGAGTGCAATAAAATTGTGGATTTTGAGACATAAAAAAGCAAGATGATTCAACCATTTAAAAGACTTTGGAATTCATCATTTCAAGTGATGTTGATCTGAAATTTATGATTATACATAATGCGAGTTATTACATTCTAGTGCTAATTGATTAACTATCAAATTTGTAACTCCTAACTTTTTAATGAACAATTTTAATTTATTGTTGAAATAATAATTACTTATTAATTGATTAAAATTTAAAAATAAATATTAAATAAAATAACCACCACATTAAAATAATTATAAATCAATAAAAATCTATTAATAATAAAATATTAAAGAGGGGCATAGATGGAACAACAATTTTTGTAAAGTTGAAAGAAGGGCAAAATGGGATTATCAAAAATTAATGCCAGTTTATTTATATTTATTGGTAACAAAGTACATTAAACATGCACATATTAAAAAATTAACTATTCTGTCAACAAAAATAATCTATTCAAATCTTTATGAAAATGGAGTAACAACTCCATTAAATTAAAGAATCACAAGTAATGAGAAGCACTCTATAGAATTTCCAGAAGCATATCTTGTAGTATATATCTTGGCAGCCAAATAAATTGTTTGGTATGGATACATTGGGCTTCTAATGATACTAGTTGAGATCATGAAATCCATGATAGTAACACAATTATCTCATGTGTATAGAATTTCAAGTATCAAGATAGAATCACACAATTGATGGTATTTCTGTAAGAGTTATTAATAAAGAAAGTGTCTTTGTGATATATATACACAAGTGATAATCTGCAATCATCATATTTTCAAGATGTTGAGATATACCTGTTGGTAATGTTGAACTCTAGAATTGCGTAGAATACACTACTTAGTGTATCAAAATACTCTTGATTGAGTTTTGTGTGCCCATAGATGAATACGTTTAAGTTCATTTATAATCTAATGTTGAGATTATGAGATAATGATTTGTACGCACGTATAAAGTATAACTGATATTGGTTTACCCACACGAATAATCGTCTTAGACACTTTGGAGTGTACTGAGATGAGACGAAGTGATCTTGTTGTGTATATGATTTAGTCGTCTTGATGAGAAATCAATGTGAGATTACAATAATTAATCGAAATAGATTTTGATATCTATTAAACCTGTTTGTAGCCAGATCGAATTCTCGATTTAAGATTACTTGAAGAAATGAACATAAGGAAAGCTCAATTTAAGTATCGAGGAGTACCTAGACTATGATATATACGATGTTATTTACTTATAAAGAATATGACATATGCCCTAAGAAAGAAAGAAAACATCGTGGCAGTGTTTCATACCACGTATGCTTTTACGACCAATATTGGATAAATGAATAAATATATGCTTTCTCATTGTGTGAGATCCTGATGTTTATATAACCTCATACATACCCTCATAACTTTTAACTATTTCTTAAAATTTTATTTCAGTGTTGCTACTTTAATTTATTATCAATGAATATAATTGATTTGGTTTGATGGGACATATCTAGGAAATCAACTGATTTAAAGTTGAAGAATTCAAATAGAAAAGGAAACTATTTTGACCAACATTTATATTTGTATTCGCAATTGGACAATTGTGTATAACCATTTAAAGTACAAAACACAATTGTAAATATAACAATACGATGAAGGGTTCAAGTATATTCTATAAATACTCGAGAGATCGAATATACTTAAATTGATGTTGGAAATTGAGTTTGGGATATAACAAGATGTAATGTTCCTCTAGTAGAGATGCTATATATCCCTAACAGATTTATAGTACCGCAAGCTCTAATATTACTTGTTGGCCGCACGACCAATTTGTCATATGATTTTTTGTGAGATAGATCTTGAGAAGGATCTAACGTGTGATATTCGATGTTGCTTGTGGTTTGGTGAAGCCCATCAATTGAGAGTAAAAGATGTTGAAAAATACGGGTCGTGAATCGCCCATGTGGAGTAACCTAACCCATAAAATATTAAAAGGATTGAAGAGAGTGGTTAACTTCTACAATTCCCCATAACTCCCATTTTAACATCTAATTATTACTTATCATCTGGGAGAAGAAGAATGACAAAAAAAATGGCGAAATTCTTATGAAAAATATCACCAAAATTGAAAGGCACTTAGAACCACTATTTTGGCATGAAAACTCACAAAAATTAACACTTAGGTTGTGACTAATGATTCCCTTCTGTTGTGATTGGTCATCGGAGTGCAATAAAATTGTGGATTTTGAGACATAAAAAAGCAAGATGATTCAACCATTTAAAAGACTTTGGAATTCATCATTTCAAGTGATGTTGATCTGAAATTTATGATTATACATAATGCGAGTTATTACATTCTAGTGCTAATTGATTAACTATCAAATTTGTAACTCCTAACTTTTTAATGAACAATTTTAATTTATTGTTGAAATAATAATTACTTATTAATTGATTAAAATTTAAAAATAAATATTAAATAAAATAACCACCACATTAAAATAATTATAAATCAATAAAAATCTATTAATAATAAAATATTAAAGAGGGGCATAGATGGAACAACAATTTTTGTAAAGTTGAAAGAAGGGCAAAATGGGATTATCAAAAATTAATGCTAGTTTATTTATATTTATTGGTAACAAAGTACATTAAACATGGACATATTAAAAAATTAACTATTCTGTCAACAAAAATAATCTATTCAAATCTTTATGAAAATGGAGTAACAACTCCATTAAATTAAAGAATCACAAGTAATGAGAAGCGGTTCAAGGAAAAGTATGCCAGAGGGGCTGAAATTGGGGTGAGGCATTGGGCTGCGTTCAGAGAATTTAGGAATTATTGAATTGAATTTGGTGTCTTGACCATGGAGATAGAGGGTCCAATAGATTTGGTTCAAATATATGTGAGCCCGGACACTAGGTTTTATTACTGACCATGATTGTTTGTAAAAATATTTGTAAAAGAAACGCTCCACCTACGAATGTGGATATAGATAGAATGACAGAGAAGAATTTATCCGCCATTTAATTTATAAATAAATACAAATGAATGTTAAATAAATAAATAATATTTATGAATGAACTAGAAATTTGACTAAATATAGATAGTTAGACATTACAGTAAGGTACTTCCATAGACACTCCTCATTATTATAAAGTATTTGAATTTTCCCAACAATGTTGTACACCCATACACCCCTCACACAATGAGGGGGTCCACAAATATAATATTTATGTGTGTCCCCTCACATTATGAGAGGACTGTACACAAAGCTGTGTACTGGCAGTATGCAAGAGGTTCAATCTTTTTCCCAATAGCTGAATTATATATTAATCTTAAATCTTAATATAGTGCACGGTGAACCCAATAACATGTTACATTCTTATGAAGATTTATGCAATAAAAACTTAAGGGCCACGACCCTTTTGGCATAGCTTTTACTTCATGTAGAAAAGCTTTTAAAGATACCTACCTGAATTTTGTTTGAAAGCTAATTTTTTTAAAAAGTGCTTTTAAAGAAAATCACATTAAATCAAACGAGTCCATAAACATTTTAGAATCTCTAAAGGATCATTTTGACTTTTCAAAAGCCATGTCAAGCGGCCCTAAATCATTTATACACATTAATTAGTAAAACCATCAAATGCAGTACTTAAATCAGGTTAACTGAAACTAGCAGTATCAAATATTTGGTTCATCGGTAGTAACTGTTTAACCAATCACTGTTCCATTACCTGAACCTAGCAGTAGTTTCAGACGGAACTGATAACTGTTAACAGAATCGTTGCACATAACAGGTTCGGGGTGGGGGTTGAGGCTCACAAGGTAGTGCTCATAATGTAAATTAGAAGAGAAACAAAACCAAAAAGAAAGATAAAATTCTTCAACCTGTATGCATGAATGCTAGTTCAACATATTTCCTTGTGAATACAGATGTCCATGAAGGAATGACGGGGCGAGACTAACAAAAATGCAGAGAAAAAAGATGAAACACAACCAACCATAGATATTTCTATCAAAAGTTCACAAACTCATTACTCAAGCAGTAAGCCGAGTATATTGTGACCATAATTATAATGGTTCAAATCTAGCACCATTCACAATCCTAAGATAATATAACAAAACTTAAAGAGAGTCTCGAGAAACAAACTCCATTGCTTGAAGCGAGAAGCAAGCTAGGATGGGATCATTGTTGTCGAACTTCAACTTTCTTTTTCTGCCAGAGCCTATCAAGAGCACCGTCAGCATCACCCTGCAAAATGGATATTCCAATTACAGATTAAGAAACAGAGACTTAGTTTATTAATGCAAGATGGGATTTGTAAATAGAGTCCAGGTCAGTTTTATGTAGCTAAATCCCTATGTGGGAACTAGGGTGATCAGGGGCTTTGGAGTCACAATATGGGCAAGACACAACCGACTCACAGCAAAGGTGAACAACAATGGTTGTTTGACTTTAGCCCCTGTTTGATTTTCCTTAAAAAAACAGATTTTTAGTTATTTTGATAAAAATGGATAAAATGTATAATTCATACGTTGATGAAGTTGTGGATCCCATGAAATATGCAGTTAAAATTAATTTTTGACTTTTGACTTAGATTTGTCAACTTTTTTAGCTAAACATAATTTAGGTACTTTCACAATGACATTTGAAAGAAAATAGAAATTTCATTCAGCCAAGTGTCAAAACATAGTAAGAAATATATAATATTTGTCATTTTATCAGACTGCCTTCCATTAGATAGGAATATATTTGATGAATAAAAATAAAAACACTTTTGTATTTGACCAATTTTGTCACAGACAAAAGTACTCTCAATCTAATAAACAATGTGCAAGCTTTGACATGTACTTGAACAGTGCAAAGTTAATAATAACATAAAAAATATTTGCCCTTTTTGTTAACCAAAATTAAAGCAATTTATCTATAATACGGATGGGAAAAATGCAGGCAAAATAAAAAAGGAATTGTCATTTAGTTCTACAGGAAGAGTAAAAATGTGCAGGACAGCAATTGGCTCGAAGTGTATGATAACCTGGGCACGGACGAATCCACAGAGAGCGAATGTGGAAAATTGACCGGTGTATCGGCCAGTTTCATCCAAATGCCCAACATTGATCTGGACAGATGCATGATCCTTAGAAGTGATCAGCCTGTTTGTCGCAGAACTGCACAAACAAGAAAATCATTTCAGATTAATACACACTCTAAACAACTTAAGAAGTTACGTTTATTATCAAAATTCATTCAAACCAGAAAGATAAGCATTATGAAAAATTATATACCACTTCCTGGGGATGTAGAGGTCCATGTTCTGTCCCTCCTCGTTCTGCATCTTGGCAAATCCTTCTAAGAATCAAGAACTGCAAAAAGTTCAAAGCACCTGAATTTAAATATAAAAAAGGGTTAAATCAACAAGTTCACACGCAGTCTACTCATGGATTTCTACAATTTTAGAGTCTTATTCAACTTCACAATCTTTTACATCAAAAATCTTCAACCAATAAAACATAGATGCACATGGGTTTAAGATAATTCTGAAATAAATCTGTAAAGGCTCAAACAGAAGGAAGAAATAAAAACAAAAACAAAGTGCTGCAGAGTCCTAAATAAATCTAAAGTAACTTATCTCTCTTAACTTGAAAATCTATCACCACAGATATAAAATGAAGACTCCTAATTAGACGGAATTTCATGCGTGTAATTTATTTAAGTTAAGAAAAAAGGAATTTCAAGTTAATACACTTCGAATTAATCTTCAGAAATTTTAAAAAAAAAATAATGGTAACTTTTCAAACAAACAAATAATTGAACGTGTTAGATAAAATGGTGAGTTGAAAAGTGCTGTGTCGATTCAGAAATGCACAAATAAAAATTCAAGTACAACATGAAATATAAACATTACATACTGATATATTTTTTATCAATGCGAATTGCAATGTCTACGAAGAATTTAGAGAGAGATTACCAGAAAAGGACTGCGGCGGCGACAGGAGCTGTTCGCGTCTACTGATCGGTTTTATATTTTAGTTAAACCCTAATCAAATTTTTCAGAAAGGCCACCACGAAATGTTTTCTTAAAAGCCTACTTTTCACACTAGGACATCGATTTAACTTTACTAGTTATGGAAAGAATAATGTCATTTACTCATTTCTAATTACTAATCATTACATATATGTCATATAGGACGATTAAAGTTAATTGTTTGAATACTCACTAAACTTTAAAGGGCGTCACGTTTCACTCACTGAACTTTACTTTGCACCAAATTACTCACTGAACTTTGGAGTTAATTGTTTAAATACTCACTGAACTTTAAAGGGTATCACGTTTCACTCACTGAACTTTACTTTGCACCCAATTACTCACTGAACTTTGTAAACTTGCACTCCATCACTCATCGGGTTAAAGAGTTAATTGTTTGAATACTTACCGAACCCACTCAACTTTACTTTGCACCCAATTACTCGCTGAACTTTGTAAATTTGCACTTCATCACTCACCAGGAACCGTTTGTTCTGTTTGTCTATGTGGATGACGACTTTAACACGTGGCAGTTAAATTAGACAAACATAACAATGAATTGTCAAATCATATATCCAAAAGGACCCAAACATGCCTTACCGTTTTCACTCAAAAATATATGGTGTGGTAGAGAGAGGGAGTGTGTGCGTGTGCGGGGGTTGGGTTTGGGATTAATCGGGGTGGGGGTTATTATTTGGATTAAGGTTTAATTAAATTTTTATTAATCACAATTAATAATCTTATTTGTTATCTAAAATTAAAATTTTTAACTTAACTCTCCTACTTATGAAAACTAATCTTTAATTATAGGGTTCTAGGTAATTTTCCCATAAAATATTTTACACATAAATTCAAAACTTATTCTTACTTTTTTAATCATACATTCTTCTAAAAATTGCGATTCAAAATATCGTTTTCCCAAATTATAGTTATCAAGCAGGGGCTAAAAGTCGTGAGTCCTATGATTTTTTGGTACACCAATCCTTAATTAAAAGGTTTTTGACCAAATTGACCTTGGGTATTTGACAAGGAATGAACAACTATTACCGAAATTGATTGAATTGGTCATCGCACAAAAAAAAAAAAAAGTTTCAATTTAGATGTGTCTAATGGTTAGAGTGAGTATTTTTTGAGTGTTTTCACTCAAAAATATATGGTGTTGAAAACAGTGAGGCATGTTTGGGTCCTTTTGGATATATGATTTGGCAATTCATTGTTATGTTTGTCTAATTTAACTGCCACGTGTTAAAGCCGTCATCCACATAGGCAAACGAAACAAACGGTTCCTGATGAGTGATGAAGTGCAAATTTACAAAGTTCACTGAGTAATTGGGTGCAAAGTAAAGTTGAGTGGGTGAAATGTGACGTCTTGTAAAGTTCGGTAAGTATTCAAACAATTAACTCTTTAACTCGATGAGTGATGGAGTGCAAGTTTACAAAGTTCAGTGAGTAATTGGGTGCAAAGTAAAGTTCAGTAAGTGAAACGTGACACCCTTCCAAAGTTCAGTGAGTAATTGGGTGCAAAGTAAAGTTCAGTGAGTGAAACGTGAGGCCCTTTAAAGTTCAGTGAGTATTCAAACAAATAACTCGGACGATTGTGAAAATAAGTGACTACAAATAGTATTAATTAAAAAGAAACACTGGATCAATATAAAAATGAAAAGTATACTGTCCAAAAATTTGTGTTTAAATACATGTTGGAAAAATGAATAATAATTCATTTAGGGCAAATGTCGATCCTAAGGGCATGCTTAGGAGTGTTTTTCTTTTTCTTTTTTCCATCAATTTTGAATGGCACCGTTCATGCAAAAAAATAAAAAATCAATTTTTGCTATTTTTTTGGCACTGATTTTGGGCGTTTCAAAAATTATCTAAAATAATTATTTCAAGCTAACATATTTATTCAAAAGATGTCAAGGCTTAGTTCGGGTTGGATTGATTTTGAGTCCAACCCAAAATCGAATTCGACTTCGATTTTGGCAAATTTTAACCCAAATCGATCCAATCCAACCGTTGAAATCGAACTAAACCAAACTAAATCGATTTGGATCGGTTTGGTTTGGTTAATCTATTTTGTCGTTGGTGTGAATTATTGAAAAATAAGGAAAAGTTTTTTATTTATGTATAATATTATTTTAATAAAGAATGTGTGGTTGAAAATGAGTACTGCAGAAAAAATATTGTGGTAAAATGTGAAAAAAATGGTTGACAAATAAACCTTAAATTTGAAGTTTACATTAAACACTTCTTCTTACTTTCTTTTCTTTTCATTTGATATTAGAAGTTTTGGTAGAGAAAACATAGTCGGTAAACAAATTATTTGAAAAAAAAAATTACATTTGTGTTTTTATTACTTTGTTTTTTAAGTTTAAAAAGATAAATTTTAAAATGAAAAAAGTATTAAAAAATTTATTAGCGGGTTGGTTGTTACTTGTTAAGCCGACCCAACCCGACTTTTTATGGTTAAAATTAAGGGAACGTCACATATATCCTCCATTTAAAAATCATATTTCAAAATTAGCAAACTTCTAAAAAAAATTAAAAAATTAGGTGATAATTAAATTTATTAAATAATTAACTATAATATAACATAATTAATCTACTTATTCTACCCTACCCCGCCTCTAACATACCCACCCATCACATCAAACCCTCATCTTTCTCTCTCTGCTTCACCCCACCTCCGGCGACTGCTCCATCGACCCCACCCCACCTCCAGCAACAATTTCGATGACCTATCTAGCACCGACGATTGCTCTGGCCACAATTTTGACAACTCGCTGGCAAATATTCCGACAACCTCAAATAACTCTGACAACTATTCCAGTGACCACTCACCTTTTCGACTTCTACCTTTTTTCTTTTTCTTCTTTTTAGCAATGACCTTGACGAGTTCTATTAGATCTGTGACTTGTGCTCATTGTGATCTGTGAACAATTCTATTAAAGTGAGTAATGTGCAACATTTTTTCAAAAATCAATGGTCAAAATTCAATACTTTAAATTTCAATGAGCAATCGAAGAAATGGAACTAAGTTTAGTAACCAAAATTCGACATTTTAATTTTAGTAACCAATCAAAGATATGGACCTAAATTCAGTGAACATTAAGCAATTAACTCCTTATTCATTGAGAAAATTATATATTAAACTATATTTACATTAATATTTCAAATGTACTAATATTATTGTTTAATGCAGCAAATACTATCTTTTTTAAAAGCTACTCGTTGCCCGTGCAATGCACAAATTGGGAGACATTTCGAAGCTAATGTTAGTACGTTCAATGCATAAGTATTGATGGGAGATATGTGTTGATTGAACAAAGGCTATTTGTGACATTCAATGCCAATGGCAAGTACTAGGGTAATTTAGTTTTTATTAGAATCTCTTTTCTTCAACTTGACTTAAGTGTAATGCTCACTGGAGTAAGTATTCATCAAGCACCGGAAGACATAATCACACTTCCTTCGGTGACCTCGACCGAGTACTCAAGATTCTCTGTTGAATTCCAAGTCATCGTGCAGTTGGGATTGTGTGAAAAGTTAGGGAATACGAATTTGATAGTGAGGCAGCTGGGTAAGGCAACTTGGTAATAATATCTAATTTGCTAACTTATTATGTACTTTATAGTAAGAAAAATAACCACCTTATCTCCTTAGGAAATTGAACTAAACCGTTATACTAATTAGCTAAATTATTATGGAGCAAAACTTCTCTTATTTGTGAAATTATTGTCTTTTCATAATAAGAAAAATAACCAGCTTACCCTTAAGAAATTAAGTTAAGAATAGAAGTTAATATATTGTAAAAATAAAATAATATATAAGAAATTAAGTTAAGAATAGAAATTAATAAGGAAATGTGAATGTACTAAATTAAAAAACTAAGAACAATAAAAACGAATTAACAAAGCAAGAATTATATAAGTAACTTACATAGTCCGTTTTATGTAAAACAGATGCAACTATAAAATTTTAACGTGCAAAAATCTAACATGAAAGGAAAAATTTTTAAAAGTTAAGACTGCACATTATCTAGCAACAAGAAAAGAAGAAATCGGAATTTAGATGTAGTGCAATTAAAGCTAACAACAAACCTGAGAAAGAAGATGAACGGAAGAAAGAGATGAAAAATCTAATAATAACTTTAAATCGATGAAGAAGAAATTATTAAATATGATTGAAATAGAAGATGAATACAAATAAAGACAAATCTTTTTTAAATTTATTTATTCTTCACTAAGGTAGGCGTAGCAACTGTTTTTAATTTCATTTGTAACCAGTTTTGTTGCTGGTTGAATATGAAATGCCACGTGAAGGCACCACGATAATTCACTTATTCGGTTGAGGCTCTCAAGGAGACCAGCTGAGTTGCCTCCAAAGCTCAACCGAGGCTCTCCAAAGGTAAACCGAGGTGCCTTTTAAAATGGTCGAAGTGCCTTCAAGGATGTCCACCGAGGCCCTAAGTGGCCCAATCAAGGCTCTCAAGAGGCCACTCGAGGTGCCTTCAAAGATGCCGCCGAGGCCCTAAGAGATCCCACTAAAGTGCTTGTTGAGGTATCTATAACAATGCTAATAACACCACTTAATGTTGGACTTGGACTTGCCCATTTCACTTGTTTATATATATGAGAACTCACTCCATTTCCTGGTTTCGATATTTTCTAAACCTTAACCAAATTCTCCCTCTCTCAACTATTGCACTATATATATATATATATATATAAGAAGGGATGAGGACGGACACCTGTTGGCCTTTTTGGAGGTCAACAAATTGATGCCGTCTATGGAATATCGGTACATTAACCATGTTTTTACCACATCCAAAAAAGTCACCGAAAATTGAAAAATCTTCGATCAATTTGTTCTACCCAAAAATCATGGAGTCAGCCAGCAAAGAAAGAAGAAAAATGGCTACTAAAAGTCTGCTTGAAAAAAGGATATTCCGATTAATTCGTTAATGGTTAAAGAAACCACCATGAAAAATGGTTATTTTTCGGCTATGAAAATACTGCAAATGAAGTTACAAGAGAGAGGATTTTTACTATCAAA